ATCTGCTCCATTATGCAGAAATTCCAGTCCTTTAGAGATGGGTATAAGAGACAGGACTAGATGTTACGTAAATTTAGTTTGTTGGTAAAATTACACTATTCTTATATTATATATATTATAAAAATATTTATCATAGTTTAAATTGTGTGTGATTATATTAAATTAATTTTTAGATAAAAATAAATTCTTTAATATTGGGTTATTTCTCATTTAAGAGCTTTTATTTTATAATTCAAAATAATTTATAGTATAAATCAATAAACCAATTTATAATACCAATTTTGGCTATGTTTAGTACAGTCATTGGGAAGTCCTTTTGAACTCCAAAAGCTTAAATTGTGTCAAATATTATAATTCATGAAAAATGTTATAACTTTTTACAAGTTAGTATTTTGTCTTTTTTATTACAAATTTTAATTGATGCTTCTACAAGAACTTTTCATTTGAGTTTTAATAAAATTAACACGTTATTTTTATTTTATCTTTATTTTTCTTTTTATTTACAAAAATAAAACTTCTATAATAATTTTTTTTAATATAACTTTTATTAAAAACTTCAACCACAGCCAACGGCCACTTAATCAAGTAAAAAAAAAGTTTTTAAAATATAAAAAAGATTATCCTACCGTATAACCTATAATAAGGTATATTAAAAAATAATAATTAATGATTAATTTATTAATTATCTAATTAAATTCATTCAGTCAGTATTAATATTAAAATTAATATTAATTTTTATATATTTTTATAATAAAAAATAATTTTAATTCATATTCTTAAAATATATATTAAAAAAACTCTTTTATTAATCAAATTAAATGAAATTAATATTTTAAAATACAACATTTTATATTTGTTTGTGGTGATAACATTGCCTGTTCAAATAGGGCTGAAAAAGCTTGTACTCCAAATGGTATTATTTTTCACAAATTTAAATTTTGTTAAAAGAAAAAATTAAAAGTAAATTTTAAGTAAATTAATTACTTAAAAAATGTATTAAAATATAATTTTTAAACATTTCTTCATCAAATTTTAAATATGTAAAAAAATAATATTTTTTTAAAACAGTTGATTTTTAAATCTGCTGAAACGATCACTTTACTATCATTATTACAATAAATAAGAAATTGGCAACGTTGAGCATTAATTTTTAAAATTATGATTATAGATTAATGTTAAAATTCATCTGATCAACGATTTAAATAATTTAATGGTTATCTTTTTTCGTTGTAAGTAAAAAATCTTGAATTCGAGTCATATAATATACAGATGAGGTGATAATCATTGTCTAATCAAGATAAAATAAAAAAAGTTATGTAGTATAAAATATATAAAAATTATTTTTAAAATTTTAATTTAAAATTATAAATGTAAAAAAAAAAACAATTATTTGAGAAAGAAAATAATATAATGGTAAAATAACCGAAGAAACAGGACAAACAGTTAACTGGACC